TCCCAGGCCGAAGAGGCAGCGCGGTGAGGGCAGCGGTGGCATCCCCAGCCACTCTGAGTCCAGGTGGTCAAACTGTGGGCCGAGTGTCTGGTCAGCTACCGCCCCCACTTCCCCGGCCCCAGCCCAGCGCAGCCCCTTCCGGCCACCTGGGTCACAGAGGAGTCCGGCTCCTAACGCAGGCCGGAGGCGGCCCGAGAGACAGTGCCCCTTCCGCATCGAGCCTCCCCCACCGCCCAAGTAGGTGCCGCCCCCCACCACCACCATTACGGCAGGGTGATGGTGGCATCACACACAGAAATGAGCTGTGAGAGGGAGGTCCAGCTGTGGCCTTGCTGCCTCCCCCAACTGAGGCCACCTGCCCTGCTCTCCACTCCATCCTACTGATCAGGAAACTTCCAAATACAACCGGGGCAGTCACTAGGTAAAATCTATTTTGCAGCCTTGTCCATCTCCACTGCCTTATGCTAAAGATACTAGTGGCTTATCTTTTTGGAAAGTTTTCTGAGGGCAGAGCACTGTGCTGATGAGCACTTATAAACATTATTTGACCTTCAAGTGACCTTATCAAGCAGGAAGAATAATATCCCCACTTACAGAGGCCCAGAGAGAATAAAAAAGTGCCTACACTGCTGAGCTGGTAACTGGTGGAGCTGCCCGCATGACCCCCGGCCAACTGTGAGGCCTGTGAGCTTAACCCAGGCACCAAGCTGTCCCCACCTCCCTCGCTGGTTGGGCCTCACTAAACACACCACTCACCAGGCTCTTCCCTGATTCCATGGCCAGAAACACTCCCTCCCCTCCCTTCACGTCTCCAAATCCCACCCATCTGGCAAAGCTCAAACCTACATAGCCAGCCACCAGGAAACCCTCTCTGCCCTCTGAGATCTCAGTCTCACCTCAACTTGGACACTCCACTGTACTGATCCTTCCTGTACCTCAGTTTTCTCATCTGTGCAATGGGAAGACTAGGCAGGATGAATTAGTTGTGCTGGACACTCTGTGTTCTGGGATCCTGGACACCCTGTGCCCTGGCCCTCAAGCAAAGTCCCTGCCCAGGAACCCTACACTGACCTTGCTCCTCCTTCGCTGTACTCAACCCAAACCCGATGCAGGCCCAAGGCCTCCAACATATGTCACCCTGGGGCTGATATCCCCCTGATACTGAGACACCAAAGTTTTGCTGCTCTTTGACAGCTGCCTACAGCTGTATTCAACCTTCATGCAAGTGGCTGTCAGTCAACCTGCCCAGTCTACATCTCACCCTAGACCCAGTGACATCCCCCTGTGTCTACACAGGCCCCTTCTAGGCCCCAAGGTTACCCCCCCAGTGCCCATTAGCTGGCAGCTCCCAAGACTGGCCAGGCACCTGCAGGAAGTAAGCACTCATGGGGTCCTCTTTGTTGTCCTCGTTGTAGAAGAGGCCCCCGGCCACGAAGACCTGGTTCTCCTTGGTGGCCAGGCTGACGTGGTTCTTGGGGACCTGGTTGGAGAGGGAGGCACAGTAGCACTCGTTCGCTGCGGGGTCGTAGGCCACGGCACCCTCCTCGCTGATCATGAAGATGAGGTCCTGCAGGAACATGCCAAAGCGCAAGGTGTCGTTGAGGATGCCAGGTAGGACGCGCTCGGTCTCCTCGTCCTCGTCTGCCTGGGCTTCCGCTGTGCCCTTGTCAGCCTCCTTGGCCCCGGTCGCCTCCTTTCCCTCCTTCCCTTTCTTCTTCTTGCGCAGCGTGGTGATGCGGCCCTCGTGCGCATCCTTCACCATCTGCACCTTCCGCAGCAGCTCGGGCTGGGCGCGCACCAGGGGGTGGCGCTCCACGCGGCTCTCCAGGAAGGCGCGCGGCAGCAGGCGGCAGCGCACGCTCTCGAACACGGTGGGCAGCGCGCGCTGGCGCTCTGCCTGCGCCTCGGCGTTGCCGCCGCCCGCCCAGCGCATCACCGCCTCGAACACCGCCTCCTCCTTCTCCACGTCCAGGCGGTCGCTGGAGATGATGGCGATGAGCTCGTCGGCCGAGAGTCCCAGGAAGTCGGCGTCGCGCGCCACCAGGGTGAAGCGCGCGCAGATGAAGTCGCGGGCGGCCACGGCGAGGCGCGCGCAGTCGAGCAGAAGGCCCAGGCGGAAGACGGCCAGGCAGTTGGACAGGCACAGGCGCTTCTGCAAGAAGGACACGCAGATGGTGAAGATGGACGGGATCTGGAAGCGGTGCGCCGCGGCGAACAGGTCCTGCACGCTGGCCTCGTCCAGCGCGATCTCCGACGTGTAGAGGTAGTGCAACACCTGGGCCACCACGTCCGGGGACACCTCCTCCAGGCGCAGCTCGCCCGCGCTCTCAGGCTCCGCCAGGAAGCGCGCCCGGAAGTAGGGGCTGCAGGCGGCCAGCACCAGGCGGTGGCACGGGAACTCGCGCTCGCCCGCGCGCACCACGCAGTCCAGGAACTTGCCATGGTCCAGCATGTCCTTGAGCCCGTCCTGCAGGAGCGTCTGCTGGTACAACCGCTGCTCCTCCGCCTGCTCCAAGCCCGACGCCATGGTGAGTGGCCTAGGGGGCTGTGGCAGGGCCAGGGGCTCCTCTCTGTGCCCCTGCCCTCCTGCTGGGGCACGCTCAGACTGCCGCAGCTGTCTTCGCGGAGCTATATATAGAGGTGGCCCAGGCCCTGTAAGGCGAGCCTCCTGCCTCCTGCACATGACGCACCAGGGACAGCTGGGCAGGGGCCCCTCCCGCAACAGCCTTGACTCAGCCCTGGGGGCTTATGGGACAGGGGTGGGTGGACCCTCTCTGAGGATGAGGGCCTCACTGCCTCATTTCTAAATGGAGCAAGGCCTTGACTCTGGATTCCTTGGTCAGGAGATGCCCCTGAGGGAGAGGGTGGTCCAAACTCTGACCCTCAGTCCAGGAGGGGTCGCATTAGAGCCTCTCTTCCAGAGTCTTTCTTCCTATCTATCCTGGTGCCTCCTCCTAGAGTATATCTCATCCCAGTCACCCCTGGATACAGGGTGTTTGAGTTTCCCCGCTCAGAACTTGGATATGGCCTTCACGCCTTGGGGGCCTTGTTGCCCCACGTTTTTCTTAAGAGATTGGGTCTCTTATGTTTCCAAGGCTGGACTTGAACTCCTGGTTCCAAGGGTATCCTCCCATCTCAACCTCTGGAGCAGCTGGGAGTAGCTGTAATCACCACACCCATTGCCCCACCTTGAAAATGGGAAGAACTTTTCCTCTTTCTGCCCCAGCTTTGAAACTCTCCTTCCTTTAAGAAAGCAAAATGGTGCCTTAGGTAAGCAAGGTTACCACCTTCCTGAGGGGCCTAGGGCAAGTCAGGTCTCTCTGTTAAGCCTCAGTTTCCCCTCATACACAATGAGGAGATGGAGGAATTAGATGAAAAGGTCCTCATTTCATCTCTGCTGAGCTTCGGAAGTGCTGCAGTACTGTGTTCCTAGGAAACACTGTTAGAAAGTTCTAACATTCTAAAGTATCAGACATGCTAGAAAATTAATTTCTTTGGATTCTATTATTCTAGGTATTTAAACCCCCAGGGTTTTAGCCTTCTAGAGGAATGACATGCTGAGTTCTAGTGTTCCAAAAGTAAAAGCTTAATATCCCAGAACTTTAGCTGTCTATGCTCATTGTTTTTGGTCCATACAAGGCTGGCCTGAGCCTGGGCCTAAGCCTGTGCAAGGGTCTCCAGCACCTGTTTGTGCTTGAAGGGGTCAGGGTCAAGGCCCAGAGCAGCCAGTCTCGATGCCCACCTTGCTAACCTTGACTCCTAACCACCACCTCCCCCCTGGCACACACATCAGCCTCAGCCACCAAATTTAACTTGTCCCCAAAGTGCCAGAGGCTGCAGCTGTGGGTTAAATTTAGCCCCCGGGACACTGGGATGAACTGTTATGGGGCACTCCCCCATCACTCCTCTGAGTCACTTGTTTATAAACTCTGGCTTGGGGGGCGGGGGGATAAGAAAGAAGACAGCAGGCCAGGCCAGGACTGAGTCACCTCCCCTTTTGTGATCTCAGCAGTATCACTGTCTGTCCCTCCTGAGCAGTGCATCTGACCATTGAGGCACAGCACCTGGGCAGGCCCTGGAGGTGATCTGCCCACCTTGCTGAGAGGACAAGAGCTCGTGCAGGAAGGGTAGGTGAGGGGCTTCCAGCCCAGCCCTGGACTGAGGCGCATGGCTAGCAAGCACCGTCAGTGAGGAAACTAAGTTCTTAGAGGCCCAGCAACTTGGCCAAGTCACACACCTGGCAAGGGGCTGGGCCAGGAATGGAAGCAGATCTGGGCCCACCTCCGAAGACTGTGGGAACCACCCCCCACCCCCCGGCCTTGCTGCTTCCCAAGAAATACTTTTTAATGTCCATTCATCGTACTCTCATTTTCCAAAGATCGAGATGGAAGATACTGACCAGGCAATTAACTTATATTTATCAGATAACTTATTGAGCTATTTCTAGATGATGATGGATCCCATGGTGCTAGTAGAACATTTATATGTGGCTCGTTCATTCATAGGAACCTCCAGTGGATGGTTCCAAATGCTGAGGATTCAGCAGTGAGCAAACCAGGCAGGAACTCCTGCCTTCATGGCGCTGACATTCAGCAGGGGGTGGGGATGAGAGGCATGGAGAAGACAGCAATAAATAAACAGTTTCACGGGATGTCGGCTGATGGTGACAGCTATGGAGGTGAGGAAGGTGTGTGGGAGGTGACAGGCAGAGGCTGTGATGATTTTAAAGGAGTAGTCAGGATCGGCTTGCTGAGAGGATCCCATTTAAGCAGGTTCAAACCATGGAGGATTCTGGTGGGGGGATCAGTTTGAGCAAAGGCTCTGAGACAAAAGAGCACCAGACATGCTCCAGGAACAGCAAAGAGGTAAGTGGGGCTGGAGCAGTGAATGAGGAGTTGGCGGGGGGCGAGAAGGGGAATCATCTAGGCCCATGTGGGGTGGCATAAGGACTTTGGTTTTTCCCCTGAGTTAAATGGGAGCTCCTGTTCATTTTTAAATTATTATTATTGTGGAAAATGCAAATATATATAAAAGTAGAGAAACTGACCCTTCATGTACCCATCACTTCACTTTAGTAACTACCCAGTCATCAAGCCATGGCCAACCCTGTTTCATCTCTACCCCAGCACCCTCATTAATCATCCTGGGAGGTGACCAGACTGGATGTGGGTATAGGAAAAAGAGGAGATGAGGTGAATCCAAGGGAAGATGGTATTCCATCCTTTTCATTTTTACTCATTTAATCTTCCTACCAAAATCATGAGGTAGATATTATTTCTCCCATTTTATAGAAATGAACATTTAGATGGTCAGGAAATAGAAAGCAGTTTAATCATGTTTTTAATAGCTTTAATGAGCCAGGCATGGTGGCTTACACCTGTAATCCCAGCACTTTGGGAGGTGGAGGCGAGAGGATTGCCTAAACCCAGGGGTTCAAGATCAGTCTGGACAACATGGCAAGACCATGTCCCTACAATAAATCAAAAAATCAGCTGGGCATGGTGGTGCATGCCTGTGGTTCCAGATACTTAGAAGGCTGAGGCAGAAGGATCACCTGAGCCCAGCAGGTCGAGGCTGCGTTGGCCATGAGCGTGACACTGCACTCTAGCCTGGGCGATAGAGTGAGACTCCTATTCAAACAAACACAACAACAAACTTACCAAATTGTACACTTTAAACGTGTACAGTTTCCTTTATGTCACTTATGTCTCATTAAAGCTATTTTTTAAATTTTTGAGTGGCTAATAGATTATGGATCTCCTAGGAACAAAAGATTTATTGTAGAGATGAGGTCTTGCCAAGTTGCCCAAGCTGGTTTTGAACCCCCAGACTCAGGCAGTTGTCTCGCCTCTGCCTCCCAAAGTGCTGGGATTATAGGCGTGAGCCACTGTGCCCAACTGGTAAGTTTTGACAAATGTATAAACCCGTGAAACTACCACCACCACCATCTAGATGGGGAGCATATCCATCACCCACAAAAGTTTCCTTGTGTTCTTTTTAAATCCCCTTCATCTTTCCCCACACACCCCAGGCTCAGTTGCTTATCTGCCTTCCACCAATGTAATTCATCTATAATTCCTAAAGTTTTGTGTAAGTGAAATTATACAGTATGTACCCTCCCCCTTTTTTTGTCTGACTTCTTCCACTCAAAGTAATCACTCGAAGCATCACCCAGGTTGTCTGTGCATGTTTCTAACCAGTGGCTTCTGCCTTCATTAGGAATCTTAGCATATTACAGAGTCATTTAAAAGAAATGCTAAGTGAAATTTTAGAGAAAATTCCACCTATTTTGCAGGATCAGGGAAGACCTCGCAGATGTGCCAAGAAACCCAACAAAAGTCTGCAACCCTCGTCTCATGGGCAGGCCCACTCTGGGAGAAGACCACCTCAAGTACAGATGAAGCATCTGGGCTGTCTCAGCTGTTGAGTATTTGCTTGAGTAGCCATGCTATGTGCCAGCCATATGTGGCAGACATTTGGTGGCCTCCCCACATCTCCTAGATAGTCTTCCTACGTTTGGGACAGTTCCCACATCAGTAGTTCTTTTTCCCTGAGGTAGAACCCAGAACTTATTCTCCCAGCATCCCTGGGAACACAGACATGTCGCTGAGCTTGGCCCATCATATGCACCCATCAGTTCAGAAGAGAAAGAGGAAGTCTTCCTATGTTTGAAACAGTTCCCACATCAGTAGTTCTTCCCTGAGGTAGAACCCAGAACTTATTTTCCCAGTCTCCCTGGGAACACAGACATGTCACTGAGTTCAGCCCATCCTATGCACCCATCAGTTCAGAAGAGGAAGCAGGGACGTGCAGCATCCAGGTGCTGGTGAAGACAGCTGAGGGACAGCACTGTGAGGACTTCTGGGGTTCACTCTTCACTGTCTGCTGTATGAGTTGAGTAATCTGTCTCCACTGGCTGTGGTTTGGCCATTCTCTGGGCTGTGTAGCCTGTGGACTGTCTGGGCTCTGTAGCCTGTGGTCCTGGCGCTTGGGTTCTTCTAGGGATTCTGTAATCTGTCTAATACCAAACCACTCAGTGAGGATTCTATGGACTGCTGCTAAGAGGATGGTGTGATATAGAAACTCATTCCAAGAGTATCCTGAGCAACAGGTGCTCAAGGGCAAGTTTGAGCAGATGAGAGCGTTTCTAATGGTCTGCTTGCTTCTCAACTGACTTCTGGATTAAAGGTGGCCTCTGCTGCAAGAAGTTGAGATGCTGGAAATGCTTTTACTTGACCTAGAGAAAAGGAGCCAAAGACAAGAAGCCAGGAATGTTGGAGTGGATCTATTATGCATGTCATCTGTTCCCATCTATGTTTGCTGAGAGGACACTTCCGCCCATCACTGAGGAACTTGTGGATGAGGAATGCTGTCAACTCTGACACCTGTTACAGTGACCAAGAATGTGGGTGGCAGCCTTTGCCTGTGAACTGACCTCCCTGATTTCAGGGAGGATAATGAGATCTTAGGGGTGGAAGTGACCAAACAATGGTTCACAAGTACCAAAAGCAAAATGGGCATGTTTATTGCAATAGGCAGCAGAGCTGGTGTGAGTAGTAACCAGACAGTCTGACCCACAGGGATTCTGGGGGTGGCTAATA